CTCTTCTCTCTTCTTGCAGTATTCAATCTAATGATTGGTTTACAGCAACTTCCATGATTCTATATCACTAGCTTTTCTCTTCAACTCTTGATATGAATTACATCCTTGATCTTCTAATACTGACTTATGTATTGTAATCTTGGTCTTCCTTTATGATTTTTTCCATCTATTACTCCTTCTAAGATTAGTAATAGCAGCCCACCGTGTCTTAAAATATGACCTATTAATTCATTTCACCTTTTTTTGTATACTCTTCCACATTGATTTCTTCTCAGATACCCTTTCTAAAACTTCTTCATTAGTGACTATCGATCCAACTTTTCTTTTCCATCCTCCTGTAGCACCACATTTCGAATGCTTCCATTCTTCTCTTGCAATAGTCCATATTTCGCATCCATATAACATTATGCTCCAGATGTACGTTTTTAAAAGATTCTTTCTAATATTAAAATCATTGTTTTTTGAAATAAAAAGATTTCTTTTCTTATTAAATGCCACTTTAGCTTGGTATATTCTCTTTATAATTTACTTTTTGCATCTCCCATTTAAGCTTATTGTGCTACCCAAATATATGAAGTCTTCTACTTGTTCTATAGTTTCACCATCCTTTAATTTTATTCTTGATCTTATGTAATTGTATCTACTACATACTTATACTTTCGTTTTCTTTGTGTTAATTTTCATATGTAATTATTTTTCCATCACCTGTTCCAATTTTTCTTAATAGTAATACAAATAAATGGGAGACATTCGAAAAAGAAAAATAAAGATTTTAACTACTGATACAAGTTATAAAAAAAATCCTTTTAATATATTTTTGAGGTCGAAATCAAATATTTATAATCAAGATATATTTTTTTTCCCCTGCATAAGTTTTATATACTTATCATCATAAATGTGTGTTATTTCACATGCAAACATATCAAATTTAAATATAAAAAAAAAATACACCGAGTTTTCAATCAGTATTTCTTAAAAACATTATGTATATTTTTCACTTGAATCAACTGATATAATAAAACATTATTTTAGTGTTGTTTTATATCAATATTATATACTTTTTACTAACGAACACGTGTGTATTAAAAAATTCCTCCACGCACACAACCACCGCCACAATCGAATACTCTTCGCAATTACTTCAACTTGATAGGATTCTTATTCTTATTAATACAGCTAAACAATATTTTATAAGCTAGCTGTCACTTACACAAAACTAAAATTATTAATAATAATAATTATAATTTAACTTTTTTTTTTTTAATTAACTTAGGTACAACAACAGTAAACTAGGAGTAAGTGACAGAATGATTAAATTCAAGTATCCTAGATTCTAAATATCAAACGTCAATCATAATAATTTTCGTTCACAAATGGTATTCGGTAAATTTAATAAAATATAACATTGAATCCGCTGTTAAATTAAAATACGTCTTCAGATAAAATATATTCGCATCATTTCCGTAAAATCTAAAGACACATTTAGCTCAAAGGAATTTTAGAGGGTGTTCTATAACAAAAATGAATAGCGCTCTTTCTCTTTCACTCTCTCTCTCTCTCTCTCTCTCTCTCTCTCTCTCTCTCTCTCA